TCTAGCTTATTGGTTGTTTTTGTTAGTGATGATGACGCAAAATTGAAGAGAGAAATTTCTCTCCCTTCTAACCAAATAAATGACATTGTTTCAGCCATTTTCGGTGTGGAAAATAGTGTTTACAATAAATAAATAGTAAAACTTAAATGATTGTGACCTAAGTTTCCTCCAGTTATAATTTGGTTGTGATTAAGTTAAATTCTGAAATTAACTTCAAATTGTTGTTAAAATTGGTGAGGGTACCAGGATTTGATTTATCCTGTGAATTTGTGATTCTTTTTTGCGATATTAAAATCTTGATCAACTATCAATCACTTGGTTATATCAGCTCAAGTAGTCGAACTGGTAAGTTTTTGAGCTACAGTTGAAAAAAATTTAGAGTTTGTGATAAAATTGAATATTTGAAGATAGCTTTAAGAGCAAGTCGGGTGAAAATTTATGTCAGGTTATTTATTTTGTAACGTGTTGACGGCAACATCTTAAAAGTAAGCTAGTCAATATCAAAACTTGATTAACTTAAAATCTGTGTTCAAAGTTTTAACACAAGTTCAATAATTTATTGTACATTGAAAAGTTCGGTTTTCTTTTGATAAATAAGCGAAAAATTGTAATAGTAGACGAAAATGTCTATCATAAAAAATAGTCTCTTGTCTGAGCAAAATTTAAATATGTACCGTCTAAGTGGAGAAAATGGACAAGATATCTTTGCATGGTTCGAACATTGTAAGTTCGAAACGATTGCTGTTGGTTGGGACGACAGTCTTCGACTACAACGATTCCCATTATTTATCACCGGTACAATTAAACTCTGGTACATCTCTTATGTAAAAAATAAAATTGCTGATTATAATTTGATGAAACAAATGTTTCTGAGAGATATCGTTAATTCGAATTACGGATACTGGTTAGAAACTCAATTTTACCAAGGAAAACACAAAGAAAATCAACCAGTTTTATCATCTATTCCTGAGAAAATTAAACTGAGCAAAAGAATAAATGTTGATATTGATGAAAGAAAACTTATAAGGTTGATTATGTTGGGAATTAAACCTGAAATATATCAGTATTTCGCTCAATTCGAAATAGATCATATTCACGATCTCCTTTAAAGGGCACAAAAAGCCGAGATTACTCATCAATATGGTACATATATTTTCGTCAGAACTCGAGTGATCTAACGATTTGGCACAGGAGATGAATGAGATAAGTTCATTAAATTCAATTCAAAATTTATTAAAAAAAAGCTTCTCAACTTAATAAATTAGTTTTATTGATTACTAAGATAATTTGGTATTAAAATGTAGGAGACCTAGTGGACTGGTTGTTGTATCAACAGTCACCTCCTCCTTATCCAACTCATTTCGCTATTGGTGGCAAGGGAGATGGTTTGTGAATTACGTGGGCAATGGATCTATGGGAAGTTTATATTCCTTATTTTAGTTTTAATATAATTAATTGAAGAAAATTATCCTTTCATTAAAGGAAACTATTTATTCTTCAAATTTGTTTTATTTGAAATCGATAGAAATTATTTCCAAGTCTTTATCAACATTTTTCTTTAATTAGAAGAAATAATTTGTAATCCCGAAAATTCCTCAAAGTAGCGCATCAGAGGCGCTGGGTTTTTAAAACAAGCAATTAAATTAACTTTTTACAATCATCATTTTGTTTAACCAAATCTAATTAACTAATTAAAAAGACGAGAGTAAACGGTTTGACAATTTAGAAATTTATTTATAACAATTTAGATTTAATTGTTTTGTTACCAATTACCGGTACTGAAACTTTATCTCTAAATTGTCAAACTCATTTACTATCATGTCTTTTAATTAGGTTCAGGTAATTAAAGATATAGTTTTACCTATCAACTATTCTAACTTATCATCTCGTTATTTAATACAAGACAGGATAAATAATGATTCGATAGTTAAGAGATAACCGGTAATAGGTAAAACAATCATTATCTTGATGAGAAAGTATATATCAGGTATTTAGTTGTAATTAATCTGTTCACACACTAACCACTGATCAATTAATTATGTTTGATAGAATTTTTCGTCACAGTTTTTTTTACAATCTCTTCCCTAGAAAGAACAAACCAAAGGATAAAGTCGTTCAATTAGATTGACAATTTCAACTTGGCAAAAGTCTCACTCTACATGAAGTTCTGAATGATCCTTTGGTCACCAAATATTTAGAGGATAAAAAGAAATTTGATAATTGATTGAAATTTGTTCAACTTTAAACTGTATTTATTTGTTACAAGATGTGTCGTGTTATTTCATAATTGGCGGTCATCAAATGACATCAAAGTTCATTAAGTAAATAACGCTTTTTAACTTTACATATTTAACCTTAAATTTTATTTTATTGAAGATCAACTTAATTATTTCTTTCTTTCGTGTCGGATAATATTTAAAAATGTCATATACGCCATCGGGGATAATCGAAGGTCGACGCAGTAAGTAGCCTTATTAATTTCAAATTTTCAATTAATCTTAATTATCTTTATCTTCTTTTCGGGCTTCTCAAATACATTGGATCATGTCAGCCAGCTTATTACATAAGTGACTGAAGTGAAAGCTACATTGGTTTTTCAGTTGTAGTTCAAGTGAAAGCGTCTAAATTGCGGAATATCAACCTCAGTCAAGTACCGATTATTCCTAAACCTCAATTCGACCCAACACCAGTTCTAATACTTGAAAAGGACCAAGTAGTTTCAAATCTTGAATGGGCTTCTAACGTTAACATCATTGTACACGTGAATGACACCTTATGATCGTGAATAAATTTTAAGCAAAACACGACTAATTGTTATATTTTAATAAGAGAAATTAAGAAACTGAACTTTTGGAGGAAACTGATTTGTTTGTAATGTTGTTGTATTTTCTATTTCTGCAAATGCTTTGTCAAGCATTTTATCGAAAAAGAGATCTTTTTTGGTCAAATTATTGGGACATTTCTTTTTCTTCCTATGTGACATCTACATGGTGGGTATCCATATTCAATCACTAGCCTGGCACCTTCCTTGACTTCTTCTACAAAGGATGGAAATTCATCAGAACAAGGATAATTTGTCTTGCCTATCCGCTTTGAATTTACATGTTTGATCTACTGAAATGAAAACGAAATCAGAATCAATAAAATGAACAAGAAAGAGACAAAATGCATTTACTAACTATTGAGAGTGGATCATTTTTACACAATTCACACGTGTCATAATACTCCTGATTGAAATTCATAACCAATAAGTTAATTAAACTAAAGAAAAAATGGAATGAGACAATTACATAATTTAGCGCAAAATACTTTGAAATTACTAATTTCTAAAACTTGACGCTTGAATCAGATTAAGCGGTTAAGATTTGAAGTACAAAGCGCGAATATTAAAACATCTAATTAAGTTGATTGCCTGTTTCTATTACCCAGCGCCCCTGATGCGCGATGGAATGAAAAGAAATGAATAAAAAGCAAATAGAAAAGAACGAGATTCCTACATCTAACACAATTTTCAAAATGGATAGTTTATAATATCGGCAAACAAAAGTATGAATCAATGCCCAGTATTTGTACAACATTCAAGCTACAGGATAATGATGAATATCGCTATCAAATGTTGAAGGATGGTGAACTTATGACTTTCTCTGATTATAATTTTTTTGAGGGTTCTGTCAAATCTTTTTATATCAAAATCAACCGAAAATATAGGTGCTTATGCTCAGACTGTAAGGATTCACCCTGACTACACTGCTGTTATAAAAAATCATCTACAAGCCAAAAAAAATAATGTATAAATGTTTTACTTGTGACAAAACGACATTGTTTAAAAGCGGTATGAGCCATCACCTTAAGAAAAAGCTTTGTAATCGTAATAATACTGAAGATAATAAATAATATCTTCAAATATAAAAATTATCTTCTTAGATTAATCCTATTAATTTGTGCAAAATGATCAGAGTATCATGATCACCTTCGACATTGATTGTATTACTTTGTATAATTTTAATTTTAAAATTTTAATCATTCCCATTCCTCTTTCCTAGTAACAACATTAAAAATATAAGAGTTGGTTATAAGTTGGTTGTGATTAAGTTAAATTTTAAATTATATTTAAATTGTTGTTACATCTATTGAAAACATCAAGATCATCTTAAAAAGCTATGCTCTCATGTAACAACTCGTTCGTTATACAGGGCGTAACAACCAAATATCCGAAAAAATTTCTCGGGAAAAGTTTTGCATCGAAATGTACCACTTTTACAACTTTGAGAAGCCAATGCTCGGTAGCGGCTTTATTGAAAAGTTCTAAACCAGAACACAACAAAAATTTCACATTTTCTCTGTTGAATCTTCAAGAAAAAACTCTGACCTAATAAATAGCTTAGATATGGTAAAGCGTCGAAAGTCCGGATATACGGTTGTTACGCCCTGTATATTTATGTTGATGATAATAGTTGTAATTGATAGAATTGGTAGGTAAAAAACAATGTGAATAATATTAAAATTTAGTTGATGTAGAGTTTGATATTAGATTGAGAAATACATAATATTCTCTTTTTGTTTGAGAAAACAAATAATTAATATTAAATAATTGAGTAAATCTAACTTTAAAACAAGAAGATATAAGATAAAAATAGAACATGAAAAAATGATAGTTGAGGTATACGAGGAGAAGGGTTAGTTCATCCCAACTGAACATATTTTAGCTTTACATTGGGATTTTCATATTCATGTTCACTTTCATTTCACCTTCATCTTCATCTCTATTTTTATCTCCATCTCGTCTCTTTCAAGGAGACGAGGTGTTTATCTTTTCTTTGCCAACAGTACTAATTGTGTTTTTACATTCAACATCTATCGGTTGTTGTTAATTAGTTGAACTGAATTTTTACAAAGGTAAGTCGATATTCTCTTATGTGTCATTCGTCAGTGCATTGGAAACATTTGCTATCGATTATTTTTCTTGATTTCACCACTCGATCTATTCGGAAAGAAAAATCGATTCTCTTGAACTGTCAATGTATTCGAATACAAATTCGAAATCGATTTTCTTTTGAACAAAAAGACGATGAGCAATTAGATTTAGAATCAGTACCAGTTTCTGTGGATTCATAACGAATAAGGTAATTTTCAGTGTGAGGATTTACTTTCAAGAATCTAATATGAACAGTTTCAACGGTGGTTGGAGCTGAACCGGTGATCACGGCTACAATTAAAAATAGAAAAGAATGATTAGTTTAATTGTTCGAGGGCAATTTGAGATCAATTCAAACTTTTAAGTGAAGGCATAGTGATGTTGTTTTTCTCTAGATAATTGATTAAATCAATCGTCATCGCTGGAACAATCATTGCATGGGAACAGTTATTTTCATTAATTGTCTCAACCAAACTCTTAACATTGTAACGATAACCAGAAAGAGTGATTGTGATTCCCATTCGGGCCATCATTGTGATCCCATAGACAAGGCCAAAGATGTGGAAAAGAGGAACTGGAATAGCGGCAACAGTTCCTGGTTCATCAAGACCAAGTCTTCGAGCAGTTAATTGTGCATTGTTGATTAGATTACAATGTGATAATAAGGCTCCTTTAGGTTTACCGGTTGTTCCCTGTGATTAGAAACATTGAAATGAAAAGTTGGTAATTGTATTCGGATTGATCTGTATTACCGAAGTGAACATGATGATCGCTGGATCATCACTATTGACTCTTGATGAAGTTGTAGTTGATCCATCACTCGATGATAACAATTGTTTTAAAGAGAATTTGTCAAATTCTAATGAAGTTAAATTGTCACCATCAATTTGAACCAATTTCTCAAGAGTTGAATTAGTTTTCCTATTCAATTTACTCGCTATGTTGGCGAAATCATTGACCACCGTTTGTTGGGAAGACTGACCAGGTACGAATAAAACTTTGGCCCCCGACTTGGCAAGAGCATATTCCAGTTCGGGTAATTTGTAAACTGGATTAAGGGTGCACAAAACTAACCCATAGCGAGCACAAGCCAATTGAATTAATATCCATTCATAACAATTTGATGACCACAAAGAGACAACATCACCTTTAGTCAAACCAAGGACAGAATCAAATGAATCAACCAGTTGATTAACTTCTTTATTTAGATCACCAAATGATTTAACTATTTTCTGATGGCCACTGATTATCGCAGGTTGGGAATTACCTTTAAAAAGAGAAAACAAATCAAGTAAATTAATCTTATCATTAAGGTAAAGGAAAAGTAAACCTTAGGCTCTAATCAGCTGATCGCCAAAACCTTCACCGAGACCTTTAATTACTCACGTTGATCAGAACTTAATTGTAGAGCATCACCAATGGAATAAAATTCTAGATTAGCTGGAGAAACACCATAAGCATATGAGTATGGGTGAAGAATGAAAGTTCAGGTTAAGAGAAAATAAACAAATGAGTAGAAATGAGTTTGTAGACTTGCGACGATTTTGATGAATTGAATCTTTGTTGGTTTGGTGATTTTGATGAATTGGAATGACTAGAGGTCAATGGAATTGAATTAAATCTTGAAAAGAAAGTAAATCATAAATTATTTCAAGAAATTAAATGTTTTGATGACGAGAAACGGTTTAAAATCATCATGACTTTTTCGCTGTAAAAATTGAGACAATCAATTGGAGAGGAAAAGATGAACAAAACAAAGTCTACGATTGCCGAGAATTAAAATTAAATGGTTGAATTGGTTGTCTTTTCTGTCGGTACATTATTTGTTTACTTTTGATATGGCCAACTTGTGGAACATGTTAAGGTCAAAAGATTTCGTATGCTTTGGATATTCGTTGATTGGTCATTCGCTTATTTTCCTATGTAGTGTCTCTTCGAATAACATAGTTGATATTGGTCCAGAAGGTTAATTGAGTTCTGTACCAAGAGAGGTCAGCAGTGCACAGAAAACTTGACTACCAAACAAAAAGTAAAAATGAGTTGACTCAATGATTGTGATAGTTTAGTTTTTATGATAAAAGTTATTTTACTCATTCCCAGTAAATGATCAAACCAAATAAGTTTATAGTTCTATCAAAAAATTGAGTTAATTTAAATTGAAGAAAATGTGAAACTTTCAGTGTTTAATGAAATGAATTAGAAACAAGTAATTAGGAGACACAATTAGACATCGTAAAAAATTGATTATTTCTCATTTTAAACACCGATAATAAACATAATCAAAATTCTGTTAATTTGAACCGCAACTTCATCTATTTATTTTATAAATTGATTGTGTTTGGTTGAACACTTTATGTATCAATAATTATTATTATTTGCTCATTAATTTGATTCATCAAAGTTGTTAATTAACGCGAATTGAGTGAATCATCATCATCATCATATTCACTTAATAATCAATATTTTGTGTTTTTATCAAGATATCATCATTATCATAATAATCATCATCTTAGTCTCTATCAAAATAATTTAATTTAATTTAACTGTTTCAACAAAAATGAGAAGGAAATTAATGTTTCTTAATTGTGATTCAGTTGCTACTCAAACAATTTGGATATCTAAATCATCACCGGTGACATGTCTTCAATTACTATTATTTTTACTGATACTTAATTGTAGTTACAATTTGTCTGTAAATTCACAAAGTTTAGAAATTGACTATTCAGGTATTTATGATTTGCTTAATTATCATTATTGATGATCCAATGGTTGTATTCCAATCTATTAAAATTCACTTTCTCTCTTTCTCAATGTTTAGGTCACACAGAAGTCGAAGGTATCGCTGGTCGATCAGTCTCTTTACCATGTAACATAACGATAACCAACGGGAATATTAAAGAAGTGGCCATTATTTTATGGTACAAAGGAGAGACTGGAATTCCTGTTTATACAGTTGACACTCGGAATAAAAGTTCATTAAGTGGTTCAATTCATATTCCATCGAGTTCTTATAAGAGTCGATCTTATTTTGATATGTCCAAAAGTCCACCGACTCTACGATTAGATAAAGTTAGTGAAAAAGACTCAGGTGAATATCGATGTAGAGTCGATTATGAAAAATATCCAACACAAAACTTTCACATCAACCTAACAGTTATCGGTAAGTTCAATTAATTTCCTTCAATTTACTCAATTCAGGAATGTAACTAGAACTTTTAGCTTTCCAATTCAATCATAATGAACTTTTTTGCATAAAATAAACACCACTACAACTTAAAGCAATCATAAAAATAATCACTTTCACTGAAGAAAATTACTCATTCTCTGAGTTTCATGATATTCATGCTACTAGAAAGATACACGAAATTTTTCATCATCTACAAAACCTCAACATTTGCATATACATTGAATTTTCATCCTTCTTACTTTTCAGATTATCATTTACAGGAAAAGTTAGAGGAGAAACGACTCAACTTTTTATAAGTTTCCAAATCTACTATCAGTTTGTTCACCTTGATAGATTTTTGATCAACAGAGTTACTGATTTTAATAAATGTTCAAAAACGCCCATGATAATTCATAAAATCGAATCTCAATCTTATAGAATGATAGTGTCATATTCAATAATAACATTTTCCTTGGCTAAATTATCAGAGAAAAAACTTCCTCGTCATAATCATAACAGTCACCTTCATCATCATCAACAGCAACATGATTATCATCAAAATCCATCAAAATGAATTCTTGTCTATCAGAAGCATTGAAACTCATAAGATACCCTGAGAGTTAGTGAGTAGAAGAGTAAAAATTTCATCTTCCCCTCTCTTCATCTGATTATAAATTCATTTAACCTTCACAATCTCAGCATAAGACTGATAACATCACTTCCGAAAAGTTATCAAAGTAAAATGCAAAATTTTGTTTCAACAGAAATAATAATGATGATAACATACTGAAACCTACAGAACAGGGAAAGTAGTTGACGGTGGGAAAATTCATAATTCATTCTGGAAATTGTGTAATAATACCAAGAGCATTCATGATGATAGATTTCAATTGTTTGAACAAACTGAAACTCAAAGAAATGGAAACAAAAAAAACGCTCATTGTCAATTAGTTATGTAAAAATGGATTCAAATGAAATTCAAGCCTAAGCCCAAGAGATTATGATTGTCAACTCATATCAAGGGATCTTTTACACTTTATCTCTTCCTTTTAATAATAATCATGGTGATGATTCTCATGATGAAATATATTAGATATGAAGATGATTTTGTTGAAGAAAAAGTTGAGATTTCTACAAAATCTTAATAACTTATTCTTAAAAGCTTTTATCATCATTACTATTATCAAATGTTATCTTATATAACTTTTTCACTTCCTGTTAAGATGAAATAAGTTGTTCAGCTGAGACATTATATTAGTTTTATCCTTTAGCATCTCGTCATCATCATGTTGTTGATTTAGAAGATGAAACAAATATTCATTTTCTATGTGAAAATTTTGTTATCATGTTTGTTACATTTCCCTATGAAAGCCATCAACATGAACGGATATCAAATACTATTCACATGATGAATATCATTCATGATAATAGATGATAACTTGAATAAACATCATATTATTTTGTGACACTATTTTATTAATATTACTAAACTATAACCGTTATTTTAAAATACTTTTTACTTATCTACTTACTCATATCAGTAGTTTTAACTGAAAGTCAATGTAACCGATAAGCTTGTGAAAGACATTCAGAAAAATGCTCAAAATGCTGACTCAGATTGACCAGAATCCAAGCAGAATGTCAGACAGAAGGAGATGAATAAAAGTACTATATCATATATGATAATCTTCAAGTTTTATCACCGACAGAATTTCAGCTTTACCTGAATATTTTTACCTTCTCCATCTATTATCATTTATCCGAATCTCTTTATCTTCATGTTTACATGATGATGAAGTTTTCTTATTGAATGATGAATCAAATGATTTTCTGGTCAAATTGAATGGAGTTGTTTCATCATTAATCTGTATTAGTTGACAGTTGATTCAACATAATAATAGAATTGAAATTGATAAAAAAAATAGTACATTATATATTATCATTTACCTTGTCTCTTCAGGTCTAAATTGTTATTGTTGTGATTTTTTCTCATTTGAGGATTTTACTCAGTCAACTCAAGTTCTGTTTCGATTCAGCGGAACATTAAACCTCTCTTTATTATTAAATACGAAATGACTCAAACATGTCCATCGAAGACCAGAAATCTGATTTTTGATCGGTCAAACTAATGAACTAACTAAAGTAATCAGATTGAACTCCGAGGCAAGTATTAATAAAAAAGAGTTTAGTTTCTACAAAATTAATGTCTAGTGTTTGGAATTAATTAATATTTTGATCTCGATGAAAAAAAAACATCGTAACGAAGTAAGATTTGATCTGATTGACTTAGGATTTAGGTCAACTTATTGAATGTCCAGACAGTTATGGTAATTATCTGCTTGACCATTGAGCGTAACATAAAGGGTTAAACATAATGATAATGTAAATGAAAAAGTTGATTAATTAGCTTTAATTTTTTGCTCATTTATCCATTGTTTGAGTTATAAAGATAAATTATAATCTGGTCAAGATGATAATGTTCAATTATATAAATCAGTGAATTTGGTTGACCAGAGTTAATGAATATATCATGATGGTGTTGATTAATATTATTCATGATAAACATTAACAAACAAAAAATGATAATTCATAAATATCATAATCAAAGTGATAATAACAATGATCACAACAATAACAATAATCATTGTTATGATAAATTATGAACAAAAATTGAGATGATTAATAATGATTACATGATTTGAGTTGATTCATTTATCATCATGAAACATCATCATGAATAATGAGTTATAAATAGCTTACATTATGAATATATGAGCATAAAATGTATAACAATTTAACAAACAAATAGTGAAGATTCAGTGAGTCCGCATGTAATAATATACGATAACCATGATGAGCAAGAGAGAGAGAGAGAGAGAGATTGTGAAAGGGATGAAAAATTCCAGAACTGATTTCATCATAACCATGATAATAATCAAATTCAACTCATTTATTAAGTTCCAATTGATTTCAGTTTGATAAAGTACAGATATTCAGTTTCCCAATCTACTCATGTTCCATGAGAGTGAATCAATCAGTTAAATTCATGGTGAATAAAAAATAAACTTCGAGTCAATCTCATTGGAGGAGAAAGAAAAAAGTTTCCATGATAATGATGATGAAAAAAAAGTTCAGAATGATAATAATGACAATTTATTATCAAATTTACATTTATGACATTTTAAGTATTCATTGATTTTCATTTGTGAACCATTGCAATCCTAAGATCTCACTGATAAAGTGCAAATACATATTAATGTATATAAATGTTATCACTTTGGTGTAAATTTTATCAACTTTTATTTGAAACTGTTATTTTTTTTTGTTCCAACAAAGTGAAAACTGTATATTAATGGCCAGTGTATATATTCAACTTACAGGGTGTTTATATTCCGTGTGATACTTTAACGATAAGATTAATAATATACATATTAGATGAATGGTTATGAGTTTCCAAAGTTTTCATGATACTTGCATGAGGAAAAGATTCTCGTACATTGAACTTTAATCATGATTCAGTGAGATGGTGATGATGGTGATAAATTGCATTTCAAGTATTAGATTTCATTGTTCAATATTGGAAACTTTTTTTCGCAATCTACATTTTTCTCACTCTCAGAACTTTTTTCTTCAGAACTTTTTTGCTTTTCATTCGGAATCAATATGGAAAAAAATTTGGAGAATTTTTTTTTCTATCTCAACCTTTACCTTCCATCACCATGTCTGATTATTCAGATGTCAGAGATAATCATGAATTGAACAATAATTTAATATCCATTGGCTTCCATTAGATTTCAATATTTATCTTGATTCCATTTATTTTGTCATCATGTGATTATTTGTAATTCAATGTGATAAAAATCATTAATTTCATGATGAATTTTGAACAGCATACAATAAAAAATTCTGAATCAATTATTGAACTTTTTCCCCTGTGATACCTGATTTTCATGATTGAAACTCAGAGTTTTATTCAGATTTTTTCCCTTGCATTTCTATGTCACTTTCTTGTTTTCGTTATCTAATCTGAATTTATGATAGAATGACAATTATTCTGATAAAAAGATGAACCATTTTTTTGCTGTTACTGTTTCCATCTTTCCATCATCATAATCCATTATCTTACTGTACACACTCAGTTTCCAACAAGATTGATAAGATAATATAAGATAGAAATGTTGTCCACCTTTTAGATTAACGATTATTCATGATGGTGATCAACATCATGTTCATCCTACATCTTCCGCATGATTCAACTGAATCAACAGATTACCGGTTAACCTGAATAACATACTCGTGAATCTCAACATGATGCAAATGAATGGAAACAGAATCAGTACCATGAATTCAATGTAATAGTTTTCAATTGAATAGAGAGAAAAGAGTTAAATTCTCTCTATGAATTATCTCATGAATTTTGTCTGTAAAGGTTTAAATGATATAAAAATAGATGACCAATTGAAAATTCTGATTCAAATTAAGTGCAAACACAAACTAATCATGAATACTGAGGTTAAATTATCTGATTTTTCATGAATAGTAGAAAAGTTCAACCTAATGAACACACAAGTGAAACAAAACGTTTCCATCTCATTGAGAGAAAATTCTGATTGGATTTTATTCTGAAACCTGAATTTTTATTCATTCATTTTTCTTTGCATTTACAATGTAGAAAAGTAAACATGATAAACAATTTGTTGTTCTTTTCGATTATTTATCCCCCATTCTTTTCTTTTTCAATCTAATACATGAGGAAAATTGCATGAGAAAACATTTGGAACACATTGTTTACATGAGAATCATATTTCATGGGCCAATGAATAGCAAAGGTAAGCATTATTTCAGTGGAAAGGATAACCAAAAGTTCATAGATTAACCTTGAGATTGAGCGTTCAGATTATTTGTATAACTTGAAACTTTTGCACTTTCACCATTTGGATTATAAAATTTCCATCATGCTCATGAAACATGAACTTTTATGGAAACAAAAATGC